GGCCACGAGGTTTCGTGGGCGTGCTGCTGCATGGTGGATGCAGCTAACGAGCGTGCGGCATCGTCAAGGGAAAGCACCGATTTCTTCCTGGGTCAAATTCCGGGAATGTGTAGAGCGTGAGTTCTTGCTGTTCAACTATGACAGCCTCATTTACCAACAACTTCAGAATTTGAGGCAGGGGTCGCGTTCGGTGGACGATTATACTGATGATTTCTATCGCCTTTTGACTCGTGTGGAGTTGCGGGAAACTAAAAATCAGTTGATTGCTCGTTATGTGGGAGGTTTACGCGTGGCCATTCAGGACATGCTTAATTTTGTTCGACCGGAGTCATTATCAGACGCGCACCAACGAGCAAGGCTCGCCGAGCAACAACTAGCCCGGAGAGCTGGCCCGACATTTTCAACACCCACGCGTTCAGGCCCGGGCGGTAGTGGCGTGTTGCAGCCCGGTCGGGCGGGTACATCGGCGGGTACCGGAGCGGTACCGCTCGTCACAGGCCGTCCCCAGGTACCAGCCGGCGGTCAGGCGCGGACAGGTGGCGCAGGAGCTCCGCCGGCAGCTGCGGGGCAGCGAGTTGGGACGGGCATGCGTTGTTTTGGCTGCGGGGAGGCGGGTCATCGTCTGGCGGAGTGCCCTCGCGGCTCGGGCTCTCGTGGATTGTTCATTGACGATGGCAGTGAGATGGGTGTGCCTGGAGAGTATGACGGACTACCAGTTTATGATGAGGAGTCGGGCGTGCCTGAAGAGCATCATATGGGGGATGTTGGGACAGCCCTCGTGATCCGTCACTCGTGTTTGACACCACGTTCGACTGGTGATGAGACGAAGGAGCGACACCATATTTTCGAGTCCACATGCACTATCGGTGACAAGGTGTGTCGCTTTATCATCGACTCGGGCTCCTGTGAGAACGTGGTTGCACAAGAGGCCGTTGACAAATTACGGCTTTCCAGCGAACCTCATCCCCAGCCCTACACGTTAGCTTGGATCCAGCGGGGCAACGCGATTATGGTGGATCGTCGGGTCCTTCTCTCATTGTCCATCGGGGCACACTATCGGGATAAGGTATAGTGCGACGTGGTCCCTATGGACGCGTGTCACGTGTTATTGGGCAGGCCGTGGCAGTATGATCGGGCAGTAGCTCACGACGGTAGGCTTAATACTTACAGTTTCACATTTGGAGGTACTAAAATTGTCTTACATCCGGCTCCTGCTCGTCCTTTGGCGGCTACTACTTCAGCACCGGTTCTTTTTCTATCGAGGGCGGCTTTTGTCGAGGAGATGCGGTCAGCTCCGTTTGTCCTTCTACTGGTGGGTTCGGACAAGTCGGTCGACCGCGAGACACCAGCCATTATACAACCACTGTTGTCGGAGTTTGCCGATGTTTTTCCTCCCGACCTCCCTTCCGGTTTGCCTCCATTACGGGACATTCAGCATCATATCGACTTGGTCCCTGGGGCCTCTCTTCCTAACAGACCGCATTATCGGATGAGCCCGGTGGAACACGAGGAGCTTCGCCGGCAAGTTGAGGAACTCTTACAGCGGGGGGTTGTTCGTCGGAGCCTTAGCCCATGTGCTGTTCCGGCATTGCTGATTCCAAAGAAAGACGGGGCATGGCGTATGTGTGTGGACAGTCGGGCTATCAACAAGATCACGGTGAGGTATCGTTTCCCCATTCCTCGCTTGGATGACTTGCTGGATCAGTTACACGGGGCCACAGTGTTCACCAAGTTGGATCTCCGCAGTGGTTACCATCAAATTCGTATTCGACCGGGTGATGAATGGAAGACGGCCTTTAAGATACGCGAGGGGCTTTTTGAGTGGATGGTGATGTCGTTTGGTCTTTCCAACGCGCCGAGCACTTTTATGCGTATCATGAATCAGACCTTGAGGGATCTTATTGGGAAGTGTGTCGTCGTTTATTTCGACGATATACTTATATATAGTCGATCAGTGGAGGACCATTTGGAGCATGTGCGAGCAGTCCTTCTTGTCTTACGGGCAGAGTCTTTCTTTGCTGCTCCGCATAAGTGTTTCTTCATGGTGGAGTCCGTCTTATTTTTGGGATTTCTTATATCGGCCGAGGGTATTCGTGTTGATGAGATCAAGGTGGCGGCCGTTCGAGATTGGCCGACCCCGACTACGTTCACTGAGGCTCGTAGCTTTCACGGGCTAGCCTCGTTTTAGCGACGGTTCATCTCTCATTTTAGCTCTTTGATGGCCCCGATCACTGACTGTCTCACGGGGAAGTCTTTCACTTGGACCGACGCGGCGGCAGATGCCTTCGCTCTTATCAAGAGCAAGCTCACTTCAGCCCCGGTGCTTGTGCTACCGGATTTTTCGCGTCCTTTCGAGCTGTCTTGCGACGCCTCGAAGGTGGGGATACCGGGATAGGGGCTGTCCTTAGCCAGGATGGTCGTCCGGTCTCTTTCTTCAGTGAGAAGCTCTCGGGCCCGCGTTTGAGGTACAGTACTTATGATATTGAATTTTATGCGGTGGTTCGTGCGGTTCGCCATTGGCGACATTATTTGTTTCACAGGGAGTTTGTGTTATACACTGACCATGAGGCACTTCGACACCTAGCCTCTCAGGACAACATTTCCACGCGTCATGCTTCTTGGACTGCTTTTCTACAGCAGTTTACATTTGTCCTTCGCCATCGTTCGGGTGCCTCTAACAGGGTAGCCGATGCTCTGGCCGGCGTTCTCTTCTTTTGTCTGAGATGCGTGTGTCGGTGGTGGGGTTTGAGGTGCTGCGGGATGTGTATTTGGAAGACTCATTTTTTGGCCCTATTGTGAGTCGACTTCGTGACGGACCGTTCGAGGACTATACTTTGGTCGATGGTTTCCTTTTTCTTGGGGTTCGTTTGTGTATCCCGGATTGCAGTCTCCGACAGAAGCTCATTGCGGACTTGCTTGGGACCGGGCACGTGGGCCGTGATCGGTCCGTCGAGCTTGTGAGTCGTAGCTACTTTTGGCCATCCTTACGGCGTGATGTGGGCAGGTTTGTTGCCCGTTGTCGGATTTGTCAAGTGGCGAAGGGAGTGGCGACAAATGCTGGCTTGTATCGTCCGCTGCCGATTCCGTCCCGACCATGGCAGGCGATCAGCATGGACTTTGTCTTGGGCTTACCTCGTACACAGCGGGGATTTGATTCTATTTTTGTGGTCGTGGATCGCTTTTCGAAGATGGTCCACTTCATTCCTTGAAAGCGAACCACAGATGTTGTCCATGTCGCCCAACTATTTTTTTGTGAGATTTACCGTCTTCATGGCTTGCCTTTGGCTATCGTTTCCGACCGTGATACACGGTTGTTGAGTTATTTTTGGCGCAGCTTGTGGCGTATGGTCGATACCCGTCTCGACTTCAGCAGCGCTTATCACCATCAGACGGACGGCCAGACTGAGGTGGTCAATCGGTCCTTGGGTAACTTGCTCCGTTGCCTGGTTGGGGATAATATACGTAGTTGGGACCACCGTTTGTGTCAGGCAGAGTTCGCTCATAACGCCGCGGTTGGCCGTGCTACGGGCTTCTCGCCTTTCCAGATTGTGTACGGTGTCCAGCCTCGGGGCCCGTGCGACTTGGCACCGTTGCCGTTGTCCGGCGGGGCTGAACCGCGTGCGTCTGACCTCGTGTCCGCCTTGCTGAAGACGCACGCCGCGGCTCGGGCTCGATTGGAGTCATCGACGGCCGCCTACATGCGGGCCGCTGATTCTCGACGTCGCCACGTGGAGTTCGAGGTTGGTGATTTTGTGTGGGCCGTATTGACGAAGGACAGGTTTCCAGCTCACGAATTTAGTAAGTTAGCTGCTCGTAAAATCGGGCCCGTGGAGATTGTGGAGAAAATAAACCCCAATGCTTACCGTCTCCGGCTTCCGTCTCACATTCGCACTTCTGACGTTTTTAACGTCAAACATTTGGTACCATTTGCAGGGGATAACTCGGACGGAGACGAGACCGGTTCGGATTCGCGGCCGAATCCTTCCCAACCGGGGGAGGATGATGGAGACGAGACCGCGATAGCATTCTTGAATAAATATGATCGTCTTCGTATCTAGCTTTTTATTACTAGTCTTTATTTTAGTTGGTCTTATTTTTATTTTGGGACTTTAAATAATTATTGTTAGTCTTTTATTAGAAGCTAGGGAATGTTGGACTCTTGCCTTATTATGTTCTCTTCCTCAGCAGAAGAGGATTAGTTTTCATCGATTAAAAATAAAGATCTGTTCTAGCTCTTGTGCTTGTTCTTCCCATTTCTTACTTACGCTCTACATCACTTATCCCCGTCTCGAGTCCTAGCCTAGTAACCCTTTGGCCTCCGACCTCTTTTTTTGTACCCAAAAAAAAAAAAAAAAAATTGACAGAATCTCTTTCCAATCACGTCCTTAGCATCTCTAGCATCTCGGTTGGGTTGCGCGTATTCGTTCCTGATTTTTGAGTGATCGTTATTTGCAGCGGTGTTTGGTGAATGCAAAAGCGGAGGCCTCAGCTCTTGCTCAGAAGGAAGAAGCCGAGGTTCGTTATTAGCTCTCATTCAACGGGCCGGGGCCAATCCGGACGCAGCCAAAAAGATAGAAATCAATCTAACGTTGAATTCCCAAGCAAGCCCGACCCAGCCCGCCAAGTCATATCTTACATACATATGACCATGACCCGTCCGGGTTGAATTGAAGCACAGGCCCAAACCTGTGTGGTCAAGAGGTCTGACCGGACAGGATTCATGCCGATTCCAGGCCGGATTTGGGACAGGATTCATGCCGATTCCAGGCCGGATTTGGGTCGGCAGGCTGGATGACCCATGGCTATGTCTAGATGAGATGGATGGCATTTTTGCAAAAAAAAGTTGTTTATTTACTTTTGTTCGAATTTTTATAAAAAGATCAAGAATGTCTATAAATCGCAAGAAGATCAAAATCCAACCCACAACAACTTTTCTATTCAGGGACTTGGCTTTTTGATCTTGGCAATGGATACACAGATATAGTCAACGTCATTTTTATGCATATGGATATAAACAGTGTCAACTAAACACAAAGGGCAGTCTGTACACTCTGAAGTCTGAACTCCCCAAACTTATTTAATACTACTTCCACAATTTAAACACACAAACCATAACAAAAATAACATAAAAAGAGGGAGAGAAAAAAAATCCACTTAAAAGTCTTGCATCATTCTCATTTACCAACATCAAATTCATCATCAGAACCAGTCGAGGTACGAGTAGCTTCTGCACCGATTGTACTGCAAGAGGCTACCGTACGTACGGTCCCACACCCCTATGAAGAGAGATTCCGTGTCAGGACTAAACGAGACCCCCGAAATCTCCCCGAAAAAGTCGATCTCCTGCTCCTTCTCGTACCCGTTTCTTACATCGTACACGTGGACAAAATCAGCCGGCTCGGCGGTGGCAATGAAGTGGCCGTCAGACGAGAAGCGGATGGACCGGATGGCTCCAAGGTTGCCCTTGAGCACGGCCACCGATTGGGAAAGGTTCCGAGCATCCCACACTCGACAGGTCTTGTCTTGGTTCCCGGTGGCAAATATGTGCCCATTCGGGTGCCATGCGGACGCAAAAGAGAAATCTAGGTGCCCACGAACTTGCGCAATTGTCTTTTTGTGAAAACAACGAAAAACAAAAGGTTCAGAAGAAACTTGGATATAAATATATCCGCTCAAAACGGGTTATTTCGGTTAATCACGGTTAATTTGGAAAAATGTAGTATGTTTAGTTGTTAGTGGAATTTTGAGTTTATATTAAAATAATATTTAAAATAAAATAATTGAAGTTGATTTGATGTAAAAGTAGGAGAGAAATGATGTGAAGTGATAGTTAAAATTATGTGAGTTGATGAATAGTGAATTAAATTTAAGGTGATGTGTAAGAATGATTGAGTGGTATTATTTAATTATATTGATAATATTGAATATAGTGTGGTTGAGTAGGATTTGAGTTAAAATAAATTTTGTATCCAAGCATGTACTAAATGTTTTCATAACAAATGTATTCCGACGATTATTGTTATATTTGTAAGATGCAGAAAGTATCAGTGTGGTTTTGTGATTTCGAACATTGTTACTTGAAGTTAGGGTGAAAAAGGCAAAAAGAAAAACGAATAGAAACGTGTGGTACCTTGCCAGTTTGTGAATCAACTAACATCCCATCAGGATTATCCCCAACAATTGCAATGACTTTGCCGTCTGGACTAAGCGATGTATGCTGCAAATAAAATCACATGAAGTTATTATAGAAAACAAGCACAGAATAGACCATTAAAGACAGGACCCTTTTAACTCTATCTCAAACATTAGAAGTGGGAAAAGTAAGATCAGGGAAGTATATCAACACTCGCACCAACAAATTCTGACAGTGTACATACAATTATACAGTGTGTACGAATTGTGTCTCATCCTTCCTACGGCAACTCCAATTTCGATCGTGCAAACTTAAACACACAGCCAATGATAATAAAAACACATTCTATGTACAGTATTATATGGTGTGTACGAATTTTGTCTCATCCTTCCTAAGGCAGCTCCAATTTCGATCGTGCAAAACTTAAACACACAACCAATGATAATAAAAGCACACATTCATGTTTTCTGTTTGTTCATCTCCTTCCACAAGGTAACAACCCAGTTTCCATTATTTCTCAGCATGTACGTGCAAAATATCTACAAGTTAAAACGAAGAAACTTACATTTACAGGCCATGGGTATGAGAAATGTTTGACAAGCTGGAATTTCCCCAGGTCAAAATCCCGTACTCCACAATCGTTATTTGAAGCTGTAAAATGAACAGAACCACTGATAGTGGTCCAAAACCAGAAATGTTTACATATGGATTTAGTAACAGGAAATAAATATGTCACTTCATGTATTAGCAAAAATTTGTTCATTTACCACTATATGATAATATTTTTTTTCTTTTTTGTATAACATGCATTGCAGTTTTTTAAATATGAGAACAGGAAGATACTAGTTTTTGATAGGAAAAAGAACACAAAATTAGTGAGGTAAAGATCTGAACGGTGATCACAGAGGGGACAGGAGTAAACAAAAGAGAGTGATTCAATGAATTGGCAGATAAAAAGAATTAAAATATGTGACAGTGGCGCTTAAAAGTACACAACTACATAAAAGTACAGGCTAGTTAAATGATATCAAGTTACAATCATGAACATGCAATTGCTCATAAACCCACTTGAAGATAGAACCCAGATGAATGGTGTAAAATTAATTCTGCAGAAGTTCAACATTTGATTTCAGAGAGAAATTGGAACAAAGAACTTTTGAATTGGTATTATTAAGATAGAAAAAGTTCACCTTGGACCGTTATATATATCGATCGCGTTTGTGATAGCATTATCATCATAAGTTGTCCTCGTACAAAAGCTAACACCAGGTCGATCAAGATCCTGCACCAAATAAAAAATACTTCATCCAGGTACATCCCATAAGAGATACTTAGGAAGGTGTCCACAAGTTGAATCTGATCAAGTACATCTCAGTAGAATTGGTTAATTGGCGCATAACTATTTCGTAACATATGACTGGAAAGAACAAAAGGAATGAAATAATATAGCTGCAAACATAGAATTCTAATCACATATTGTACAAATCCAGTAATGGCAACAAAAAAATCATGCAAAATGTCCTCAATATTTCATCACGAGAAAATAAAAATTAAAAAAAAAAAAA